TCGGCGAAAAAAATCCAATTCCTTTGTTTCGGAATAGTTTATTCGCACCATTTAAGGCTTACACATCTGGCGTCCCTCGTTCTCTGCGCTCTAACTCCGCGGAAGACGCAGAGTATAGGCAATGCTCGACACCAATTCCATGTTATAAGTAGTAGTAATATAGAAGTAAGCCAAGGGGAAATAAAGAGATGAGCTGTCTCGAAACAACCCATTTCGAAGAATGATTCCATGTACGAACAGATAGGAGCTCTCACCATCGGACAACCGAAAGCATGGCGCTGAAATTGGTTTTCGCGCCCAAACCTTGGCTACCTTTTTACTCCTCTCTGTACCCACTAAAGTAGTACCTCAAAACCATTGGGATCCCTACACCCCAACTTTCACACAAAACGGATGGCTCACTCATTCCCACACATCTCCCCAAGAAGACTCATTCAGTTACTGGCTCTCAATTTGCAGTTTTACAGCATTTCAGCTGAATAAACAATTGTCCTCTGGTCGTCTGCGCTCTAGCCCCCCGTGAGAGGATTTCAGGCGTTTTGCGCCATCCAGCCAGCAACGGCTTCGAATTTCGCGCGCGATTTGACCGGTTTTCTGCAATCGTCTGCGCTCTCTCATGAAAAAACTTTTCCTCGCTGCTGTATCTTCTCACTATAGCGCATTACGACTAATTCACTTCCCACTTCCCTTTCCAATTCGATTTTCTGTACAATCTTGAAAAGGTGCAGTACTCCATCACTGAATATTGAGTCAGCGTTGTCCTTCACCCATTCACGCTGTTGTTCGCATGCGAATGATTATGACGCGGCGAGTATGATGCATATGTCCTACTATGTCGTAAAAGACGTACTCTTCAGGGTTATTTGGATTCAAAAATGAAACCAACAAATTCGCAGTATAGCTTTCTTCCTAGGCTACTTTTCATCTGAACTTTGTGTGAGCTGTAGAGGGAAACGGGATACTGGGTAAGATCCATAACCAGTTTGAGATTTGAGATTTTCGTCCCGATAGGTTAACGATTCAGCGATTGATATAACAAACCTACAATCAGGAGTATGTGTTACCGGTCAACGTTGGGAAGGATGCGGTAGGAATGATGTTGCGATTACAAAAAAAAACTAACGCAAATAATGTTCTTCCTCGAAAATTGGTCAAGGAAACGCTTGTTGCTTGGATAATTGAGGGCAAAATGCTTGACGTCATGAAGCACAACTTCATGGTTTTTTCTGAATTTCGTTTCTATTATTTTTGTTTATTATGGTTTTACTGGTTTCAGAATTTTACTGATGATTTCCACTTAATCTTTAGAAATAGCTCTTTTGTAGAAAGTAGGGGGTGCCTATCTTTGAACCGCCACACACCTGAGCTAGACTATGTACCTTTCTTTATATGGTTTTAAATTAACTACCTAACTTTCTGCAAAACGAAAAATAGACGGAGGAGCGACAGACAGGAATGAAATGGGCAAATGTAGATGTAGATGGAAGTACGGGAATGAGAGTGACTGGAGGTGGTTGCCAAATAAAGGGAAAAGGAACTAGAAACAGGAACCGGAGTGAAAAATGATATCCCAGTGAATGAGCAAAATGCCATTACATTGAGAAAAATCCTATTCGAAATGGAATTTTTGAATTTTTGAAAAAAAAACCTCATGCAAAATCCTATCTCCAGTTTCCGGATCGACGCCGAGTAGGCGTCTTTCCAATTCCGGACTTTTGTCGGCTCCTTCAAGTACGTGCTTGAAAACGCGAGCCTTCCTAGTGATTTCCGCTTCGTGCTTGGCACGCTCTAGTGCCTCTTCTAGGGTTCTTCTAATCCGTTCCTTTTCCTAAATATGCAAAATTTGACTTATCAATTTGCCCATAACAACAATGGCAGTTGTTTCAGTAAGGCAAAAAATGAAAAAGATAAAGGAGAAAAAAGGTCTTGATATCAGACCTGCTCTTTCATTCGCTCTTCCTCTTTCTGCTTTCGCTCCGCATCTGCCTGCCGTCGAATCTTCTCCTCCTTTTCACGTATGACCCTCTCCTCTTCATACCGATCTCTTTCAGCATCTTCCGCTTCCATCCTGAGAACAATACGATCTCTGGGCCCCTTCAACTTTGTGAATTCTTCAACCTACCGTTTTCTTTCAGCAATCTGTTCATCATAGTCTGTCACCGAACTTGACGACCGTTGACGAACAGAATCGTATCGATCTGTGGCAGTACTCCGACGTGAAAATGTGCCACTGGAGCTAGCGCTGCTCTCATTGGCAGTACTCCGACGTGAAAATGTGCCACTGGAGCTAGCGCTGCTCTCATAGTCTAAAAAAGAAGATTAATTCCAGCCGTTTCTGAATCATGCTCTGAACTACTAATCCTGCACCTTCATGAGAAGCCAAAGGAGGAACAACGGCTACATTAGCTTCACGCGGTTCTTGACTTGGATCAATGGGAGCGCTATGGAAAGCAGCAGGATTTTGGATAGGAATAGCCATAGGCACTGAAATTTTTCATGCAATTAAATGTACTCAAGCTAAGAAGCAGGAGGTATGAAATCAGAACTATGGAAAACGAACTTCACTGAAGAGACTCACTATTATGAATGAATAACCAAATCTACATCACTAAATAAGTAACCAACCAGCTGCGGGGGCCATAGCACCCCATCCTGCATTCGTGACAGACATCTGTGCAAACTGTTCTGCTACCGTCACTGGACAAATTGGTGTGCCTTCCGCTATTGATTTGCTCAGATCCTAAAATGATCGATAAGATTTATATCGGAACTTCAGCGAACATACAAAAATCCGAATTTCCTTCGAAAAACTCAAAATTAAAACACAGAAGTATTAAATAAATCTCGAGTTTCTGGATCTACCAGCCCATTTATTTTACTGTCAGGCAGCGTTGTGAGCGATTCTCGAAATCCCTAAAGAAAAGCAGCACCTGAACTGGAATCGGAATAGTTCCTGGAGGTATAAGATTTATCGGTATAGCCTGTAGATAGTTCCACTGCATTGCTGTAGCTGGTGCCGGTCCCTGAAAACTGTAGATTTTCTTCGCTCAAATCTTACGTCTATTCAATCGCACCTAGGCGTGTCCTTCAGAAAACATTTGAAAGGCTGCTGCACGTTAATGTCATTCGCATGCTATGGCTCAGACCGTCGTTGGTATAAAAACCGGACAGCGAGCCAGTTTCTCAAAGCACCTCTACTATCAACATCTTCGGAAGGTTTTAAACCAAGATCAAATGTAAATCCACTCAAAAACAAAAACGAGAATCAGGGAATCGCTAAACGCGCTCAGCTCTAACCACTCCTATCTTCTTGAAATTCAGCTTACAAAACGTAGTAACAAAACGTACAAAAGTTCGAGTATCGCCGGATCTTGACAATATTAGCAATTCAGAAGATACCCTGACGTGAATGGTTATCGCCTGACTTCTTGATAGAATGTGTACGACACTAGGACCCTTTTTGTCTGGGGAGGACAGCGTTTCAACTTACAGAAAGACAATATGCAATGCTCTTTGAACAAGTTAGGTTTATAGATAGCAGGCTCCAGGCTGGACAACATCATTCTCTCCCTCAGGGTCAGCAAAGAAGAGATACTCGGAATTTATTGGCACAGATACTTTCTCAACTTATAGAAGCCACTAAATCGTATAAAATTAAAACGATGCCATAGAAAACTGCGGAGCAACTTTCGTTAATATCGGCTACAGAAGGCCAATTGACTACTAGAATAGGAGCTACCCAGTGGATTCGAAAGATGACCAGATAGGTTGGAGCACCTTTTGATCCAATTTTCTGATGGAAATCCTTAAAACCTAAGGAACAGCGTTATATGTACATCACAGCCAAGTTTTTTAGAGGCGCAGCCGAATCAGACATTCACTGAAGAGATGCAGAAGCTCTACGGAAAATATGAAAAAGGCAAGATTCATTAAAAAGATTTGGATTTTTTCATGACATAGACGAGCACACGGTAAGGACAGCAGAAATACTTTCGAAAAAAAAACAAATAGTTGAACTCACACCGCCCGTAGAATATCCATGCGTAGGAATAGGATATTGGTACTGAATCGGAATTGGATACGCTGCAGGCATCGGCGTTGTCATAGACGAGTGACCGCAACCATTCTCTGATGGCTAAAACTACTACTTTAAGGAAGAAGCTATATAGAGGTAATCTCTGCAGGCTATGTTTAGACACTCATAAGCCTAAGAAAAATCGCGTGCTGAAAGGTGGTTAAGCGATACCAGTGGATTGATCTAGAAGTCCAGCAGCATCGAATGTGTTCACAAGATGGCAGGTACGACTTAAAATCCGGCTACGATTCAGAATGTCAATCGACAGTATGACAACTACAAGGGAAGATTGGTCAGCTATGCCTCTCTACATGGGGAAGACGCTGTGCTTAACTTTTACATTTTATTTATATATCTCAACCACCTCTAGTTCGAAAATTTCCGAAGAACATCACTTAGGCCTCTTCCTTTGCGAATATTCAAATTTCTTTGCTTCAAGTTTCTAATTTGGAGTATTACGTTAATGACGCTGCTCATCCCTCCCTTTGCATTTCCAGTAGAACGGTCCATCTCCTGAAGACCGTCTCGTCTCTTCCACGGCAATGAAAAAGCCAATTCGGCAACATGAAACGCCCAGATCACTTATCGAACCCTTAACTGCTCGGCCCAATAATTTATTCATTTTTCGCAGTGTCAATGACGTAAACTAGAACCGTCATACGAAATAAAGCTCAAAGACCATAAGACAATTTCGTCTGCGATAAGCTTATCGCAAAATGAGCACCAAGTTTTATGTAGGTAAATCATCCAAGGTATTTAAAGAGGATGACAGCTCTAGTTCCGGTTTCGATGGAGAAGGAAGCGAGTAAGAAATGGGTCATACCTTAAAGTACACTAATACAAGTCCAACAACTCGCTTAGGCAATGGAAAATGAAGCCGATGGACTTGCGAGAAAACTTCAAACCGCAATGACTGAAATGTTTTCCAGCGCTCGCTTACTTTCGAGTTGCCTCTCCAATTTAACAAGAGAACCTACCGCAATTACATGTCACCAACTGTCACAGAACAACTTTCCAGGAAACCACCCATTCCTTGCACTTCTCTCCAGGACTAGGCCCAAGTTCCCACATTATCCTTTTTCCTCCTGGCCTTAAATCCATCCAAATCCTGACATGATGTCATTTGTTGATTTCGCCAGTCACTAGTTCACTTAAATCTGGTAACAACTAACAAAACTAGCGCCTTTTCCGCTGGTTTCGAAGAATCCTCATATGGAAAAGGGATCTGATGGAACTTCAATGAAAATCATACTTTCACAGACAAGAAAACTTTATTAATACAAGAAACAGTGCCAAAAACCTTTATACCATCAATTCTTTCTTTAACCTCTGGTATCAACCGGTAAGCAAAACTATCTTGTGACACAAGGTAGCACCGGTATCACCAGTTCTGTGGGCTATTTTTGATTTTTAATCTCTAGATCGAATCTTCTGCCAATGTGAAAAAGCAAAAAAAAACTTACTCCACGGTACTGGTTGTTCGCCTCGTTAATCATCTTCGCTTGGCAATCTTGCTGAGATTGTGTAGAGGACGATTTCGTCAGGGTCGTCTTTTTCCTCTCACAGGCTGTAGACTTCTCCTAAAATATCACATTCACGACAAAGATCCCTGGTATCATTGACGATATTAAATAGAGCTCTGATGACAAGTCGTTAACCCCAGACGACAAATCTTCCCAGGATCATCCCTCGATGGGAAATCGGACACTTGGACTACTCATAAGTTGCATATTACGCAAGTTCTCACGCACATTAGCTCTCGTCTTCGACCCCAGCTGCGCTTCATTTCCTATACGAAAGTCTCAAACTCCTCAAATAGACCCTTCATAATTCTCCATGATGAAATGAACGGGAATCTCCGGCTATCCGGCAAATCTCCCTGTCCGATGCAGAGCACCGTTGCGCGTGGACGTCATAAAAACACAGCGGCACCATTATGATAACATAAAAAATCGGAAAAACAAATATTGAAGGGGTGAGAGGGGACAAATGCGATAAGAAAAGCAACGATTAAACGATACACAGCTCTATATGGATATCCTCACCAATAAAAACTGCTTTTGATGGATTGTTTACTTTTTACAAGAAAACAAAGTTGTTTATCTCCGGTTCCACTTCGTAAACACTAACATTTAGAAAATGCCGAGCCTATGACTGTTTATACACCATAAAATGAAGTAAACTGCGCAAGTTGATTCACCCGATGAGGGTGCAGAATGGCGCTCTCACAAAAATTTGTATGAAGTCCTCAAAACGCACTGGAATTGGTCACTTCTAACTACATCGGAAAATGTAGTTTTTTCAACCTCCGTTTGAATCGTATTTATTTATCCTTTACCCTCCTCTAACCCACATTTACGCTGTAGGAGAATCTGTACAAAAGATTTAAAATCTTAAGCACGAGAAAAATTCAAGTAGTTCAGCTTTGCAGGCATGGCCTAATACGTAAAATCGGGGTTTTCCCAAAACTTTCAGATAGTACATTACTATGCAAGCCCAAAACCAGTGCGATCATAACAACCTTCTCAGTGACATGACGCATCGTGAACGTTCAAAATAATTCCAAACAATCCCTCCTTCGTTCCTGCTTTTCTCTTCCTTATCTTTCTTATCACATATAAACATCAAAACGTTGTGTTAGCTCAACCCAACAGCAACGGCCCGGTAATCGAAACTAAGTGAAACTCTACAGTATGTAGTAGTCTAATCGTAGTAATACTAAAGGGCCATATATCACGAAATTCCCATAATTGCACGAAAGCGACACTCAAAAAACATCAGACCAGCTGAATCAATAGCAAAACAAACTTCATTGTCTGCAGGTGCCTCTCAACTCTTTGCAGACAACTCTCACGATGCCACCGTTTCCTTTCATTGCAACCACTGCAGGCGACCTAAGCTTTTATCTTAATTTTGAGCCGTATAAAAGTAGAGATTCAGATGTAGAATTGATAAATGAGACAACCAAGGCTATTCTGTACAGAATTTGACCGAATTAGCACAGCAATGCCTCGATTCTGCAGCCTTTGATGTTAAAAACTCAATGGGAATCTTACACACGAAAGCCAGATTGATGGTTTGGTTGCGAAAATTTTGCAACACAGTGGCACCCCCTTTGCATGATTCTCATGATAGACAAAAGTTACGACTTTGTCGGCTGCTTCAAAAAAACGTCAATAGTTGCAGATGTTCCGGAAAAAGAAATTTTAAACACCGAAAAACTCAGTTTTGACGTACTCTACTATCACATCTACAAAGCCTCCCTCCATCCGATTTTGAAACTAATTTCCAATCTTCACGGGATAATGATTTTTGCACAGCAGCGCTAGATGTTTCGTGCTACTATTCGATTGACAATGAGCCGCAGTAACAACAGAGGGCTTTAGAGGTAGAATTTTGCTCCTCGACTTCCATATTAGTATTTAACCTCGGTAAGACTCGGCAAAAGCGGCTTACATTCACACTGTGTTTACAGGCACATTTTAAATCTGCTCATACCATTTCACAGTCCCCAGCCATCGGGAAACCTGTATCGAAACATTTATCAATGAATTTTCCTTCACATTTGAAAGCAAACCGGAAACCTCGGGTTTCAAAAAAGATCTTCCGCCAATTAGATTAGCTTTTTGCGTAATGGTTACTAAAACGAAGAAATTATTGTTCCCGAAAACAGGTATTATGGTAAGACAAATTGATAAATTGATAATTCCACTATCTAAATGAATATTCGGGAAAAACAGCAATAAACCCCACTGATGCCACCGTGTGAGGTACTTTTTATAGGGACATTTTTAGAATTTTGCGTAACTGATAACACCAAACATTGCCAAGCAATAAATTCTACTCGAACACGGCAATAATCTTACACGTCCACTTCCCGTAGGGATCGAAAAGAAAGTCAAAGTTCTATTGAAACTTCGTATCTTCACTTCTGAAAGGTTGCTTCTGCAAAATTTCCCGTGCAGTAGACCGCACCATAATGAAAGGGTCTCAAAGTTTTCTAGGAATCTGTCAAATTTAAAAAAAAAACGGAACGTTTCAACACTTCTGAGCGTTCATAAGATGGGCAGCTTCGCACCTAAACCAAACAATACATCGAAAAACTATTCGAACCTTCTCATAACTAGTATCAGCCTCGCACCGAAGCCAGCCAAAAAAGCTGTGAAAGTAAACAACAAAGAAAAACTCAAATGTTTAGTTTATAAACATTGAAATTACGAGAAATGAAAGAGCAGGAGTAGAACAAGAGACTGTGAATATTCTTCAGTTTCTCTATTCAGGATCTTTTAGAAAAGAACTATTTTTTTTTTTGAAACCCGATTATGAGAGGGCTCGCAATCGTTACAGTTGAAAAAATGCGGATTATTCGTGAGAATGCCAGTAACAACATAAATTTACCACAGAATAGATTATATTACCGTATTGCTAGTTTGTTCTACCTCTCATTCCTAAAAAGCGGTTGAAAATTTCAACAAATTCTTTTCGAATAGTTGATATTCAGGCCTATGGAACCTGCCCCCACCCCTCCTACCTACACTACCACTTCGAGCATTTCACGATCCTCTGAAGCTGGTTCCACACCTAATGTATGACTTCGGCGATCACCTGGAATGGTCATTTGTTCATCGGCTTAACCTACTAGGAGAAGCCATTCGCTGGCTGCATTCTGCACGCCACTGCCTGGCCCAGTGAGTCTATGTCAACAGGATTTTGCTATTATACAGCAGCACTTGACGCGTGTTTGTCCAACAGCCCACTGGCGCTTCAAGATCTACAGGAACAAAGACAAACATTAGCAAAGATCGAAATGAGAAGCGTAAAGGAGGAGAAGTAAAAACGATCAAAGGACAAGGGCATGATTCATGATGAGGAGAACAAATCCTCAACTTCGCGTTACCCGCCCCTAACCCCTTTGATCAAATAAACGAGCATACCAAACCAACCCTAGTCTTTACAAAATAGTCGACTTCTATGTGGACTACTATAAAGACGTCCGGAAGAAGACGATGGCTAATATCGTAACGATCTATGAACAGTCTGATATATCCAGTGACTTGGAGGCTGATGTTATGAATCACTAGCGCTCGTTACTCCAACTCTTCGGTCCCAGTCATAAGAATCAAGTGAAAGTCCAATATCTTGCCAACAGGTGTAGCGTGTTGTGAGATACTCGAAACTTTGTTAGTACAACTGACGGTTCACACAGCGAAAAAGTCCGATGCAGCGGGACAAGGCCAATACAATGGATCTCTCCGTATTTCTCAGTCTAGGCGTGCATTGAGGCAATGAGTCACATTCGCAATTTGGAGAGAGTGCGATCCGATGTGTAAAATTGTCGCCACTGCTTGTATACGAAAAAGCTATAGCCCCTTTTGTTGGAAGATTTTTACTTGGGTCATGTCAACGACGACTGCGTTTAGGGGCAACAAGGTATTAACGTAAAACACTTCGAAAACCGATGTCTCGTTGTGCTATGGAGGCACAGTAATCTGCAAAAGGGACTCTAGTTTGGAGATCCCTTTTCATCATACAGGTACGAAAACAGCCCTTTTCAATAACATAGGGAAGCTCTTTTCGTTTCCTACGAGCGAGATTTCCAATCCATAATGCGGGCTTCTGAAGTCATTCCCTCCAATTGGAGAAAGAGATTTTTTCTAGCAACTTCTTAAACTTGAGCAGAAAATGGAAGAAAGGGGGCACTATGATAGACCTTTATAAGAGAGGAAAATCTTTGCTACTCCAAGAATCCAACTAGAAGCTGCACTTAAGACGGACAGCAATCAATACGTATTCAAACCACAACGGCATAAAGCATACCAGGAGCATCGAAGGCGATGTCGAGCACTACGACATTCCTTGATGTCCATGATGAATCACAATAATAATCCTGTCTTCTGGTTCTAGAAACAGGAATGAAAATTAAATGGCCGTCTGGTCGCCTTTCTTTGAAAAACCTATGCACGTGCTGCAATCTCCGAGACGGATTACATTTCCAGCAATCTACTTCACCCTCTGGAAAACTCGACAAATCCATGTCAGTAGCGTAGTCTCCTTTACAATAGACCTTCACAATCACCTCTAACAGGGAAAAAGTAAACAGCTCCCAGCCAACAGATATGTTACTTTTGCAACTGCGTGAGTTTTTAATCTTTTTTTTCACCTACGAGGATTGCAATGTCAACGTAACCGGATCCAAAAGGATAAAAAGTAATAGAATTGATTCTTTACAATGGAAATCTGATTACAAGTCTTGAACTCTACTGAAGCACTGCAGTTTCACTGTTTGGTTCAAAAAAGGCTATCAATAGCAACCAATCAATAAGACCAGTTTCTCAATAAGAAAAAGAACCAGGAAAATCGCACTGATTCAGGGAGAAACTTCAAGAGTAGCTTAATTCATTCAGATTGCAGTGAGGCTGAACCTCCAATTCAACAACCTTTATGGAAAAGCCAAAAAAGGGGAGAGAGACCTGAAAAGTCTCTAGACAGAGGGCATTTTTAAGTATCGATTATCTAATCTGTTTCAAGAAGAGAGGATAAAGTCTGGTTTTCAGCGTTTGAGTTCCTCTGAGTTTTTGTT